TTTGTTCCACCAACTGGTCATGATTATAAATTAGGTCATCTTGGCAAATTCTGCTAACTAAGTCACAGTCAGGGAAAGATTTTCTAGCTGGTAATTTTCCCAGTGGTAATAACGAGCCAACAGCTTTCAGTGGATTGATCCCCTTTTGCCTTGGAGAATGCTCAGCCTTCATTTCCTTCAATCTGAGTTTTCCACAGCTAGACTTGAGGAAGGGATCCTCCATCTTCTCCTTTGCTATTCCTGACTCTTGATGTTTGTCTTCATCTTCATCTTCATCTTGTGAATAAACCTGCACACTGATGTCATCTTCAGAGCTAGAGCCACTCTCACATAAAACCTAAGAAGAGAGAGAGAGAGAGAGAGAAAAAAAAAAATTCTATTACTCAAATTGCAATGGAAAAAAACAAATATGCAAAAGACACAGATAAAACTGAGAGCACACTCTACCTCCTTGACTATGCGACTCCCCTGCCTTCTTGCTAAGCCATCACTGCAATCCAAAAGCTCCATGGCTCCGGCGATCAATTTAGAAGGCGTCAAACTAACTGTCCCCGTCCGCTCAGACCTCCGCCCCTTCTTCTGGGGAGTTGAGATCTTCCCCTGCCTCCTTCGGCCAAAGAGATCCCGCGTGTGCGTCTCCCTGCCTTCCGAGGACTGTTGCCTGAATGGACGATAACGTATTGGGGAGCAGTGTTGATTTTTTGCCGTTTCCCCGTTTTCCATCAGGCTCCAGCACACGCATCCCCGACAATGGATGGCATTCTTCTGGTCCATCACTGAAGGACTCAATGCCTCTTCACTGTCCTTCATTTTCCTTTTGCTGGAGGAAGAAATGATGATGATAATAACAATAATAATAACAATAACAATAATAATAACAATAACAATAACAATAACAATAATAATAACAATAACAATAACAATAACAATAATAATAACAATAACAATAACAATAATAATAACAATAACAATAACAATAACAATAATAATAACAATAACAATAATAATAACAATAACAATAATAATAACAATAACAATAATAATAACAATAACAATAATAATAACAATAACAATGACAATGACAATGATAATGATAATGATAACAATAATAATGATAATGATAATGACAATGACAATGATAATGACAATGACAATGACAATGATAATGATAATGATAATAATGACAATAATGATAATAATGATGTTAATGATAATAATAATAATAATAATAATAATGATAATGATAATGATAATGATAATGATAATGATAACAATAATAATAATAATAATAAAATAATAATAACAACAACAACAATAATAAAATAATAATAATAATAATAATAGCAATAGTATTAATAATAATAACAACAGTAATAATAATAAAATAATAATTAAAATAAAAAGAAAAAAAAATAAAAAATAATAATAATAATAATAATAATAATAATAATAATAATAAACCATTCACGCCGGGTGTCACGTATATGTGACAGGCCCACTGTGAGTTTACTAGTTTAATTTTTTCTACACATAGATGGCTGCACTTGTACTTGTACTGCCTGTCTCGCCTGTTTACCCTTTTCTTTAATTTACGAAAATATTATATGTTATCTTATTTTGCTGTTACTAACATTATAGTAATTATAATGTTTATAATAAAAATAACCATCGATATTCATAGCACGAGTAAAAAATACATTTCCCCGCCAAATGAAATCAGGTAAGGCAGAGCCATCTAGTGTAGAGAAATTTCACAAAAAGTATAAAAAATGAGCACAGCATTTTCCCCCATTTTTTGTTCATTTTTACCCGGCGCGAATGAGATAACAATAACAATAACAATAACAATAACAATAACAATAACAATAACAATAATAATAATAATAATAATAATAATAATAATAATAATAATAATAATAATAATAATAATAATAATAATAATAATAATAACAATAACAATAACAATAACAATAACAATAATAACAATAACAATAACAATAACAATAATAACAATAACAATAACAATAACAATAACAATAACAATAACAATAACAATAATAACAATAACAATAATAATAATAACAATATAACAAAAACAATAATGATAATACACAATAATATTAACAACAATAATAATAATTATAATACTAAGTCTAATGATAATAATAATAACAATAATGATGATGGTGATGAAGACCATCATCATCATCATCTATCTTTCTTTCTTTGGCACTCATGTACATCTAAATACAGCTAAATACACAAATATAGAGGCACTTGTTATCAAAATGCATAGCTTGGGCCACGTCTTATCAATTTAACAGGTAATTCTGTGGATTTTCACTCCCAAAATAAACACGTTTTATTTCTAATAACATACACACAGGAAAACATTAAACATCATTTGTTTACTTTTTATACAGACTCCACTTTTCTTTATTTGTGTGCGTTGCTCTCGGTAACGCTAACCTTCATGTCTATTCCCCCCCAGTATATTAGGCTGTGTTGTCCATTAAATTTAAGAAAAAATAACAATTTTTAAATAACAAGTTACCTCATGATGGACGCTGTTCGGGTTGTTTGCTTCGGGGTCATTATTTTCGAAACTGATTCGGTGTTTTGGTTTTGATATGGATATTTTGTTTATTATCGTTATTATTATTATTGTCATTATTGCGAAATTGGGGAGGGGGATAATTTTAGCTATGTATTTATTTGTATAAGCACGGTTTGTGAATGTAGGTATAGAGAAAAGACCTCGTAATGGTTAATTTCTAATCATTTCGGAAATATTATCTGGTATTCCGTTACGTTGTGTATAAATATTCGAATGCATTACTTTTGTCTTTGGCATAACAATTCTTCAACAGATTTTGATTTTTGCTCCCCTTATGGAGAAATGCAGTAAATTATCTCCTGCATTTAAAACTCTCTTACGTAAATTCTTCAAAAACAGCCTTTGTGTGTAGCGCCAAGCCAGTTTACAAACAAATGTAAGCCACCTAAAGGGTTTCAAACAATTACTATATGTCAATTAATTTAAAATTGCGAAGATTTTATATTTTCATCTTTATCTTATATATATACTGATAATTTCAAAACATGAAGATCAACACAAACCCTCTTTTGATTGCTCTTAAACAACAGAATAACACGATTTAAAATAAATGTGTGGCACTTTAGCTATAGATTTTAGACAAAAATGATAATAAGTCAGATATGCAGATATGTATATACATATATACACATATAAATGCATATATACATCATCATCATCATCATCATCATTATTGGGGTGCTAACGCCGGTAGGGGCGCATAGCCGCGTCCACCCTTCACTTCCACCTGCGAGGGTCTCTCATGGCGTGCCGCCAGGCAGGGGCCCGGCCCATCTCTTGTTCCTCACGACAGGTTTGATCGATCTGCCCAAGCCACGGCCTTCTCGGTCGTCCCACAGACCTCCTCCACCCAAGGTTGTCTCGAATAGAGACAACCTGATGGGCAGAATCATCCTGCGGGAAGTGGCCATATAGCCTGAGTTGGCGATCACGGATTGTGCAAGTAACAGGTCCTGTACCGGTCTCGCAGTGTAGCTGTTGGTTGGACACATGGTCCCGCCAACTGTACCCCATGATCCGGCGCAAGGATCTGTTACAAAAGGCATCGAGACGAGATTCCAAAGCACAAGATAGCGTCCAAGTTTCACTACCATATAGAAAAACTGGCAGTATCAGGGCCTTGAAAACTCGTAGCTTGGTCCTTCTGCACAAGTACTGGCATCTCCAAATACTCTTGTCGAGAGATTTCATGACCCCTGCTGCCAGGCCAATCTGTCTACTGACTTCCTGGTCTGACAGCCCAGAGTCATGAACTGCACTACCGAGGTATATAAAACTCCTTGTGACTTCGATGTTTTCACCACAAGCACGTACCAACTGCACAGGGTCTCCTAGTGGGCCCCCAAAATCCTGGATCTTGGTCTTGGTCCAGGAGACCTCTAGCCCCAGGCGCTTCGCTTCATTGCTAAATGCATCAAGAGCCGCCACTAGGGTTTCCAGAGATTCAGAAAGAATGGCAACATCATCAGCAAAGTCAAGGTCTGTAACCTTGATATTGCCCAGAGTTGCTCCACAGAGACATTGGACAGTAGCTCTACCCAGTATCCAATCCATGCAAGTGTTGAAAAGTGTTGGTGCAAGAACACAGCCTTGCCTCACGCCTGAACTAACAGGAAAGAAGCTCGACAGGCACCCACCACACTTTACAGCACTTTCAGTGCCTGTGTACAGGTTTGCTATTAGCCCAACAATCCTTGTTGGAATTCCTCTCAGTCTCAGGATCTCCCAGAGTGATTCACAATGCACCGTGTCAAACGCCTTCTTGAGGTCGATGTAGGCTGCGAGCAGCCCACGTCCGAACTCACGACGGCGCTCTACAATGACTCGAAGCGCCAGGATACGGTCTATTGTGGACTTACCAGGAGTGAACCCAGATTGCTCCGGTCTTTGGTGCCTCAGGAGGTGGTCTCTGATACTCTCAGTAAGATGTGGGCGAGTACCTTGCCTGGTACACTGAGCAGTGTAATGCCTCGGTGATTGCTGCAGTCCCACCGATCCCCTTTCCCCTTCCAGAGATTGATGACCACACTCCTCAGCAGGTCGGGGGGAATGGTACCGGTCTGCCAGATGGCAGACAGGACTGCATGCAAGTCCCTTACCATAGGTTCTCCACCAGCCTTTAACAATTCAGCTGGGATGCCACAGACACCTGCTGCTTTACCACTCTTTAGCTTGGAGATCGCCCCCTTGACTTCAGTCAGGGAGGGTGGATCCTCGCTGATGGGTGGGTCTGGCAGAGGAGTCTCAACATTACCAGCATCCAAGTTAACTGCTACAACTTGAGAGGTTGCAGAAAAGGGCAGCCAAGATCATTCTCGGCCCTGTCTATACCAGTTACGGCAGCGCCTTGACTACCCTAGGCCTCACCTCCCTCGCTACTTCACTGCAGAAGTTTGGCCTGAATCTGCTGTGCCATCCACGCCACCGCGACCTGCTTCCCCCAATGCGCCGCCGCCTCACCGAGCCAACGCGCCGCCAACAAACTGGTGCCCATCACGGCCTGCACGGTCCGCTACCACCGAGCACAATACCTACTCTAGTCTGACTTATCAACGAGTACTAGTCAATGGATTAACCCATTGCCGCCGGGGAAAATGAACAAAAAATGGGGAGAATGCAGTACTCATTTTTTATATTTTTGTGAAATATCTCTGTCCATAGATGGCTCTTCTAGTCCTGATTTCACCTGTCCTTGAATTGGCAGGAAAAAAAACGTATTCCTACTAGTGCTATCAATATAGATGGTGTTATTTTTAACAGCAAATTAGGATAACGTTAAATATTTTCGTAAATCGATGAAAAGGGTGAATGGGCGAGACAAGCAGTACTCGTAATTGGCTCATTGGATACTTAGTACAAGTGTAGCCATCTATGTGTAAAAACAATCGAACAAGTCGACTCGCAGTGGGCATGGCATGTACGTACATGCCATCCCCGGCGGCAATGGGTTAATGAGTACCTTTTATAACATATATATATATATGGTATAGTAAGAGAATATCTTTCGGATATCTTTCAGGTATCCTCCTATAAAATCGTCATCACTAGTATTTTAACAGTTATGAAAACCGTTCCAAATTTTCAGAACGTTCGGATGCAGTTTTGTCAACAGACAGCACGCGTTATTGGATGAAGCTTGTTACTTGTTTTTTGTTTCTCCAGACTCGTAGTCAGGAAAAAGGTTCGAGAAAG